AAAATTACACCATAATAAAATTACACCATAAATAAAATTACACCATAAATAAAATTACACCATAAATAAAATTACACCATAAATAAAATTACACCATAAATAAAACTACACCATAAATAAAATTACACCATAAATAAAATTACACCATATATAAAATTACACCATAAATAAAATTACACCATAAATAAAATTACTCCATAAATAAAATTACACCATAAATAAAATTACACCACAAATAAAATTACACCATAAATAAAATTACACCATAAATAAAATTACACCATAAATAAAATTACACCATGGCTAAGACACATAATTGTTTCATTGAGAATTTGATTCTATCAACTCTTTACCTGAGAATTTGAATCTATCAACTCTTTACCTGAGAATTTGAATCTATCAACTCTTTACCTGAGAATTTGATTCTATCAACTCTTTACCTGAGAATTTGAATCTATCAACTCTTTACCTGAGAATTTGATTCTATCAACTTTACCTGAGAATTTGATTCTATCAACTTTACCTGAGAATTTGATTCTATCAACTCTTTACCTGAGAATTTGATTCTATCAACTCTTTACCTGAGAATTTGAATCTATCAACTCTTTACCTGAGAATTTGATTCTATCAACTCTTTACCTGAGAATTTGATTCTATCAACTCTTTACCTGAGAATTTGAATCTATCAACTCTTTACCTGAGAATTTGAATCTATCAACTCTTTACATGAGAATTTGAATCTATCAACTCTTTACCTGAGAATTTGATTCTATCAACTCTTTACCTGAGAATTTGAATCTATCAACTCTTTACCTGAGAATTTGATTCTATCAACTCTTTACCTGAGAATTTGAATCTATCAACTCTTTACCTGAGAATTTGAATCTATCAACTCTTTACCTGAGAATTTGATTCTATCAACTCTTTACCTGAGAATTTGAATCTATCAACTCTTTACCTGAGAATTTGATTCTATCAACTTTACCTGAGAATTTGATTCTATCAACTTTACCTGAGAATTTGATTCTATCAACTCTTTACCTGAGAATTTGATTCTATCAACTCTTTACCTGAGAATTTGAATCTATCAACTCTTTACCTGAGAATTTGATTCTATCAACTCTTTACCTGAGAATTTGATTCTATTAACTCTTTACCTGAGAATTTGAATCTATCAACTCTTTACCTGAGAATTTGAATCTATCAACTCTTTACATGAGAATTTGAATCTATCAACTCTTTACCTGAGAATTTGATTCTATCAACTCTTTACCTGAGAATTTGAATCTATCAACTCTTTACCTGAGAATTTGATTCTATCAACTCTTTAGCTGAGAATTTGAATCTATCAACTCTTTACCTGAGAATTTGAATCTATCAACTCTTTACCTGAGAATTTGAATCTATCAACTCTTTACCTGAGAATTTGAATCTATCAACTCTTTACCTGAGAATTTGATTCTATCAACTCTTTACCTGAGAATTTGATTCTATCAACTCTTTACCTGAGAATTTGAATCTATCAACTCTTTACCTGAGAATTTGAATCTATCAACTCTTTACCTGAGAATTTGATTCTATCAACTTTTTACCTGAGAATTTGAATCTATCAACTCTTTACCTGAGAATTTGAATCTATCAACTCTTTACCTGAGAATTTGAATTCTATCAACTCTTTACCTGAGAATTTGAATCTATCAACTCTTTACCTGAGAATTTGATTCTATCAACTCTTTACCTGAGAATTTGAATCTATCAACTCTTTACCTGAGAATTTGATTCTATCAACTCTTTACCTGAGAATTCGATTCTATCAACTCTTTACCTGAGAATTTGAATCTATCAACTCTTTACCTGAGAATTTGAATCTATCAACTCTTTACCTGAGAATTTGATTCTATCAACTCTTTACCTGAGAATTTGAATCTATCAACTCTTTACCTGAGAATTTGAATCTATCAACTCTTTACCTGAGAATTTGAATTCTATCAACTCTTTACCTGAGAATTTGAATCTATCAACTCTTTACCTGAGAATTTGATTCTATCAACTCTTTACCTGAGAATTTGAATCTATCAACTCTTTACCTGAGAATTTGAATCTATCAACTCTTTACTTGAGAATTTGATTCTATCAACTTTACCTGAGAATTTGATTCTATCAACTTTACCTGAGAATTTGATTCTATCAACTTTACCTGAGAATTTGATTCTATCATCTCTTTACCTGAGAGTTTTAATGACCCCCCCCCCCCCCTGACGTCTGCTAGACCTCGCTGCTCCCAAACATTTTCGTTCCAATGTTGGCTGCCACCACATCTTTACAGCGGGAAATCCCCTACAGTGTTTCTTCCAGACTTTTTTCTCCGAGAGCACTTGATATATTCGGCGGGGGGGGGGGGGGGGGTTAACATTTTCCTGGGGGGGGGGGCGGAGACTTGTAAAAGTATTGGTTTTACCCCCGAAGAAAGTCTACCGTCTTCCCCGAACGACATTAAAAGGTTTCTGTATAAATTCCATGTCGTTCTTGGAAGGCGGTAGACTTTCTTCGGGGGGGGGGGGGGTCTGACCGTGATGCCTGGAAGAAACTGATCCCCTCAAAAATATTCGGGAAAATCCGGACCACTCCAAGTTGATTCCTATACAAATCAAGTTTGAAATGCGGACAAAATCAACAACCTCCACCCCAAGTTTAACAATGGTGTAACAACCCACGTGGTTGTCACGTGGATGACTTGTGTGGCTGTGACTCAACCTCTGGTGATTGAAAAGTTTGACGTAAGTTTTAAAATGCTGACCGTGATGACGACAATCTACGCAGTGGGACACCTCAATTTGGTTTACCCGCAAGTTTGGAAAATAGTTTCTTGTCTTAGCCAGCGGGTTGTTTTTTTCCAATAATATCTGCGGGATTTCCCAAAGTTTCTAGAGGCCGGTATAAGACGTGGCACCCACATGCCGGGGCTACAGACATCAGGACATCCAGTCGAGGGCATCTGATGACGTCATGACCAGCTACTGACCACCTGGTCCCGAGACAATACTTCAAGCAGCTAGAAATGTAAGTAGATTCAATCTCATCTTGTGTGAGTGTAGCTAGAAATGTAAGTAGATTCACTCTCTTCTTGTGTGAGTGTAGCTAGAAATGTAAGTAGATTCACTCTCTTCTTGTGTGAGTGTAGCTAGAAATGTAAGTAGATTCACTCTCTTCTTGTGTGAGTGTAGCTAGAAATGTAAGTAGATTCCTGATGTGAGAGTTAGTTGTGTGGGCCTGATGTGAGAGTTAGTTGTGTGGGCCTGATGTGAGGGTTAGTTGTGTGGGCCTGATGTGAGGGTTAGTTGTGTGGGCCGGGTGTGAGGGTTAGTTGTGTGGGCCGGGTGTGAGGGTTAGTTGTGTGGGCCTGATGTGAGAGTTAGTTGTGTGGGCCTGATGTGAGGGTTAGTTGTGTGGGCCTGATGTGAGAGTTAGTTGTGTGGGCCTGATGTGAGGGTTAGTTGTGTGGGCCGTGTGTGGGGTGTTTATCGCCTAACATAAAATGTTTTTGTCTTTGATCGTTTTCAGACGTGTGACCCGTGTTCTGAGTGACCCGTGAGACCCACGACCCGTGTTCTGAGTGACCCGTGAGACCCACGACCCCTGAGACCCACGACCCGTGAGACCCACGACCCGTGTAGCCCACGACCCGAGAGAGTGTAGTCAGCATGTCCCAGCCCAGCTTGTACGGACCAAAACTTCCAGGACAGCAGGAGCTCAACGACCGCCTGGAAAGCTTCAGAGACTGGCCCAGTGGGGAGGTTGTCAGGCCGCACGATCTGGCTGTGGCTGGATTCTTTTATTTAGGTGAGACTTGTATCAAGTTTAGGTGAGACTTGTGTCAAGCTTAGGTGAGATTTGTATCAAGTTTAGGTGAGACTTGTATCAAACTTAGGTGAGACTTGTATCAAGTTGAGGTGAGACTTGTATCAAGTTTAGGTGAGACTTGTATCAAGTTGAGGTGAGACTTGTATCAAGTTTAGGTGAGTCTTTATCAAGTTTAGGTGAGACTTGTATCAAGTTTAGGTGAGACATATCATGTTTAGGTGACACTTGTATCAAGTTTAGGTGAGACTTGTATCAAGTTTAGGTGAGACTTGTATCAAGTTTAGGTGACACTTGTATCAAGTTTAGGTGACACTTGTATCAAGTTAATTTGAGACATATCAAGACTTATCGAGACTTATAACCAACCTTTAACCCCCGACCTTTAACCCCAACTTTTCGACGCTTCTCCCGTCAGGTCAGGGCGATCACGTGATGTGCTTCCACTGCGGGGGTGGGTTGAGGTCCTGGGTGGCTGGTGACAAGCCCCTAGACGAGCATAAGAGGGCTTTCCCGACCTGCGCCTTCATCAGGGCCACGCTCATCATGTGACGTCATCAGGACCACGCTCATCATGTGACGTCATCAGGACCACGCTCATCATGTGACGTCATCAGGACCACGCTCATCATGTGACGTCATCAGGACCACGCTCATCATGTGACGTCATCAGGACCACGCTCATCATGTGACGTCATCAGGGACACGTTCATCATGTGACGTCATCAGGACCACGCTCATCATGTGACGTCATCAGGGACACGTTCATCATGTGACGTCATCAGGACCACGTTCATCGCGTGACGTCATCAGGGCCACGCTCATCATGTGACGTCATCAGGACCACGCTCATCATGTGACGTCATCAGGACCACGTTCATCATGTGACGTCATCAGGATAAGGTTCAACGTGTGACGTCATCAGGACCACGCTCATCATGTGACGTCATCAGGGACACGTTCATCGCGTGACGTCATCAGGACCACGTTCATCATGTGACGTCATCAGGACCACGTTCATCATGTGACGTCATCAGGACCACGTTCATCATGTGACGTCATCAGGGACACGTTCATCATGTGACGTCATCAGGGGGGACACGTTCATCATGTGACGTCATCAGGGACACGTTCATCGCGTGACGTCATCAGGGACACATTCATCGCGTGACGTCATCAGACACAAATTAAAAATTGACGTCATTAGAGACGTGGCCATTATTTGACGTCATACAGCTTTGTTATTCAGCATTTCTTTCTGACTTGAGATTTTAAACATGATTTATTTTGTCATAACAAATTATTCGGTTTTTATTTATTTTTTGTTTCGTTGTATATCTGTCATAACAAAATTGTTTTCTCTTGATTGCCCGGACATGTAATTTAAAAAAAAAATAATTAAAAGGGAATTGAAAGGGAAATTTTCTCTTTTCATGGGGTGGGTTGTCGGGGTGGGTTGAATGGTTTGTTTTTCGGAGGGGGGGGGGTGGGGTATCGGCCTATCGCTAGAAATAAATTTAGGATACAAGGAGAATACTATTTAAATATTATAAACAGCTTGGATGATATAATACATAGACGAACATGGGACACATTATATCATACATTCTCCCATACAGTCTTCCAAAGTTGGTTTTTTTTTTAAACATTAAAAAAAAAAAAAAAATAATATTACCAGTTTTTGTTTCGTTGGGTTAGGGTGAGGATTAGAATTATATCTGTTAAAAAAATTAAAATAAAACAGATTTGACTAGTGCGGTTATTTTACTTCAAACAAAAAAAATCACAAAATACACATCCGGTCAGTAAACAATGTAATTTAAAAAAAAACTAAAGTATTTTATGTTGAAAGGGAAGCTATTCAAGTAAACGGAATGAACGTTGTATTTATGCTCAGTACCGTCCCTTTGACCATCTAAAAAGGATTTGCAACTAAAACGCAGGGTTGGGCAAAGTCGACTTCAGTTGAAAAGTTTAGGTCAGTAGAAAAACGGAAATTGTCAAGAAATCATCGTTTGACTTTTGCCACAAAAAAAAAAACGGAAATTGTCAAGAAATCATCGTTTGACTTTTGCCACAAAGACCTCAACATGGCAGACGACTGGGTAGGTCATCGTCTGGCTGTCTGATTGGTTGTGGTCATCGGCCGGACTCTCTCAAGTCAAGGTCAGTGAAACCTTGACACGTACCACTCGATGACGACTTAATGCGTGCGTAAAACGACCGTGAGTCCAGTTGTAGTCGATTGACCTTGAGCCCAAGTGTCTGACCTTGACATTGAATACTTGTGTAGATCAAAGCTCCTGGCTGACGTCATTACCCGGGCTGCTTACGTCAGCCTGCCGTTAAACTGGAGACAAAAGATTCTGACGTCATCCACCGCTACTGACGTCACCAGTCTCGTGCACTGTTCCCTGATGAGGGCCAGCAGCAGCCTTGACCCTGTGTACAGGGCGGGGTCTGCAGATAACAAGGTCATGGTCACGACAAAAGTCAATGAAAGGTGGTCAGAGTTCACTTGATCGTGCTGTATGTATTGGTTGCGTGGCTGCTTGTATGGTCATGGTGTTCTACCGCTGTCAGAGGCGTAGCGACCCTTCCCGGCGACCGGGGACAAACTTTTCAATTTTCACCCTCCCCTCAAACTTTCGATTTGCACCCCCCTCAACCTTTCAATTTATTTTTCCAACCCATTTTGGCGCCCCCTAAGGACATATGTCCCTCCCCGACCCACCCACCCCCCCCACCCCCGCTACGATACTGACTGCTGTTGTGGTGATGGTGAAGGTAGATTGTTGCTGTTGTGGTGATGGTGATGGTATCATGTCGCTGTTGTGGTGATATTGTCATGTTGCTGTTGTGGTGATGGTGTCATGTTGCTGTTGTGGTGATGGTATTATGTTGCTGTTGTGGTGATATTGTCATGTTGCTGTTGTGGTGATGGTATTATGCTGCTGTTTTGGTGATGGTATTATGTTGCTGTTGTGGTGATGGTATTATGTTGCTGTTGTGGTGATGGTATAATGTTGCTGTTGTGGTGATGGTATTATGTTGCTGTTGTGGTGATGGTATAATGTTGCTGTTGTGGTGATGCTGATGATGGTCTCACAATGATGGTTGTGGTGCTACTCTTATGGTCGCGATGTTGAACACATGACCTACTTTGACACACATGACCTACTTTGTATTTTCCTTGACACCATGTTGTGCAGGGTGAAGGCCGCCGTGTCTGGGTCACTTGTGGAGGCGAGTGGTCCGGCGTTAGCCCAGACTCCCTGCAGCAGAGCGGCTGGCGAGAAACTTTTTTCTTTCGGCTTCTGATTGGCTAGGGAGTGATGTGGCCTTGACCGTCGACTAAACGAACTTGACATTTGAGTCTGGGAATCGTCGCCATAAGGTCTGCAAGAAATCAACAATGGCTCTACTGTGAGGTCTTTAGGTCCTCAATGCGGCGGTGGGGGAGGTGACGGGTGGGGGAGGTGACGGGTGGGGGAGGTGACGGGTGGGGGAGGTGACGGGTGGGGGAGGTGACGGGTGGGGGAGGTGACGGGTGGGGGAGGTGACGGGTGGGGGAGGTGACGGGTGGGGGAGGTGACGGGTGGGGGAGGTGACGGGTGGGGGAGGTGACGGGTGGGGGAGGTGACGGGTGGGGGAGGTGAAGGGTGGGGGAGGTGACGGGTGGGGGAGGTGACGGGTGGGGGAGGTGAAGGGTGGGGGAGGTGAAGGGTGGGGGAGGTGAAGGGTGGGGGAGGTGACGGGTGGGGGAGGTGACGGGTGGGTGATGGGTGATCAATATTTGACTTAATTCTCGAGACGCGTGACGTCATGTGATGTGCCCCGGCCAGGTAAGTGCTGCTAGTCTATTTTTAGCAACAGGTATGTCACGTGTTGTCACCTGACCGACATAGTGACGTGTCACACACAGCCCCCCCCCCCCCCCACACACACACTCCAGGAAGTTGGAGCACATTTGTTATAGTTTCCAGTTCTATATTTAGATCCCAGATTCCAGTGTCGGAATAAAAACAGATGTGTTTCATTCAACTCGCCCCCCCCCCCCACAACCCTCAAGTTTCTTCTGACGTCAATTTTTTATAATCAACATTGAACATATCACTAAACACATGACTAAACACATCATTGAACATATGACAAAACACAATATTGAACACATGATTGAACACACATGCAACCATCGGATGTGACGTCACTGTACTCACCTGATACCTGCACCTGCACCTGCACCTGCACCTGCACCTGCACCTGCACCTGCCTGTCCCAGCAACCAGCCGAGCGTGACCAGCTGACAGAGTGACGTCATGACACCTCCTCTCACCTGTCAATCAAACAGCCACGTTTATAGCTAGCAGCCGCGTTTATAGCTAACAGCCACGTTTTTTAGCTAACAGCCACGTTTATAGCTAACAGCCACGTTTATAGCTAGCAGCCACGTTTATAGCTAACAGCTAAGTTTATAGCTAGTAGTCACGTTTATAGTTAACAGCCACGTTTATAGCTAACAGCCACGTTTATAGCTAACAGTCACGTTTATAGCTAGCAGCCACGTTTATAGCTAACAGTCACGTTTATAGCTAGCAGCCACGTTTATAGCTAACAGCCACGTTTATAGCTAGCAGCCACGTTTATAGCTAACAGCCACGTTTATAGCTAACAGCCACGTTTATAGCTAGCAGCCACGTTTATAGCTAGCAGCCACGTTTATAGCTAACAGCCACGTTTATAGCTAGCAGCCACGTTTATAGCTAACAACCACGTTTATAGCTAGCAGCCACGTTTATAGCTAACAACCACGTTTATAGCTAGCAGCCACGTTTATAGCTAACAGCCACGTTTAAAGCTAGCAGCCACGTTTATAGCTAACAGCCACGTTTAAAGCTAGCAGCCACGTTTATAGCTAACAGTCACGTTTATAGCTAGCAGCCACGTTTATAGCTAACAGTCACGTTTATAGCTAGCAGCCACGTTTATAGCTAACAGCCACGTTTATAGCTAACAGTCACGTTTATAGCTAGCAGCCACGTTTATAGCTAGCAGCCACGTTTATAGCTAACAGCCACGTTTATAGCTAACAACCATGTTTATAGCTAACAGCCACATTTATAACGGACAAACAGGAAACATTCTAACTGTCCGCAGGCCGACAGGTGGGTTGGTCCGGTAATTACCCAAGTTACGTCATGTGCTATTCTTGGTTTGTTATAATGAGGATACTTATTAGCCCTGGGCAACGAATTTAATTAGTTTCCAGAAGTTCATTAGTGTACTAAAACGTTAGCATATAGTTACAAAAACCTAAGTTGTTTACAAAACTTTTTTTTGTAACCACTAATTTAGTAGGCCTAACCAAAAATTAGTAAAAACTAATGTAGTTACGGAAAAAATTAGTGGACAGAAACATAATTAGTTACGTGATGTGTAATATTTCTCAGAAACTTAATTAGTTACTTGAAATGTAATATTTACCAGAAACTTAATTAGTTACCTGCTAAAACTTTCACGTGAAATATTTTACGGACTGGCGATAGCACTTTTTGCTAGACGTACCTAGTGTCTTCTCTACAGCACTAAAGTATATAAAGTATACATGCAGTAGATTCTGCTTACCAAAGACTTGCTTCTTACTTGACTAAGGGAAACAACTTTCCTACACAGTCCAGGGGACGTCACCCATAAATATCTCAGCTGTCATGCTGTCAGTCAATCCAAAAATTATTGCCTCTAACGCCCCCTACCTGGTGATGGGACGTTATGATGTGATCCTGTGAGTGGCTTAACCACACCGCCACACATCACACAGCCACACCACATACAGCCACACACAGTCACACTACACACAGCCACACCACACAACACACAGCTACACCACACCACACACAGTCACACCACACCACACACAGTCACAGTACACATAGCCACACCACACCACACCAAACACAGCCACAGCCACATCACACAAAGCCACATTACACACAGCCAGACAGATACAGAACTGTCACGTGCTAACCTTGACCCAATTTTTCGCATGCTAACCTTGATCTAGTTATCATATGCTAACCTTGACCTTGATCTACCTCACCTGTGTCACAATGTCCAGTGAGGTTGGGTCAGGGAAGAATCTAGAAACAAACACCAGACGACCGTAGGAAGATCTATCGACTCAATGCGTTATACACCGCGACAGTGCTGATGTTATACACCGCGATAGTGCTGATGTTATACACCGCGATAGTGCTGATGTTATACACCGCGATAGTGCTGATGTTATACACCGCGATAGTGCTGATGTTATACACCGCGATAGTGCTGATGTTATACACCGCGATAGTGCTGATGTTATATACCGCGATAGTGCTGATGTTATATAACGCGATAGTGCTGATGTTATACACCGCGATAGTGCTGATGATATACACCGCGATAGTGCTGATGTAGTCAAGTCAGCTGTTGTTCTCCTTACAGACCTACAGCTTCCTGTGACAGATGTGATCCAATGTTTCATAGCTCTGGCGTATGAATGGATGGTGTGGTCAGCTCTAAGGCTGGCCGCCACTACTCTCCCTAACACGAGTCAGGTACCCATTAGAGCTGAGTCTACTCTGGGACTTCCTGCAGATTCAAGTCCGCACCGAGATCTGAACTCGAGATTTGTCGGTTAGAGGTCGAGCGCTCTACCACCCGACTATGCCACCGTTTACCCAATCACTCAATATTCACCCAACCAATATTCACCCAATCATTATTCACCCAACCACTCAAAATCCAACCAATCACTCACCACTTGTATGCCAAAAGAGAACTTAAGTCCTAAAGAGTTTCAATATTTTATTGATTTCAAGTCACAACCAGTAGATAATGATCGCTCGCCTCCCCCCACCCCGACCCACATCCCGACCCCCACCCCACAACCACCCGACCCTCAAGCTACGTTTTCTATTCACATCTGAAATCAAAACTTGACGGGCGTCATGTGACATCACGACCCTGTTGCCAGAAGGTGGGACGCTCGTTACCATGACAACCAGGTACGATTGGTGAGCTGGTGCTTGGGTTGGTTGGTCAACGCGTCACTTCAGGATACGTCACGTCACGGCACGTCACGTCACGTCACGGCACGTCACTCACGGCACGGCACGTCACTCACGGCACGTCAGGGCACGGCACGTCACGTCACCGCATCCTAATCTCCTCACCCAAGCGTGTCTGTGTTTCTTTGCCAGACACATGGATGTGTCAGACACACAGATGTGTCAGACACATGTGTCAGGCGCAGATGGAATAATCTTCAGTATTTAATACGTGAGGGGGGGGGGGGGCTAGAGGGAGGATTTAAAGATTCGAGAGATCAAATAAAACAAAACTTAGAGCTCACTAAACCTAAAACCTAAAGCAGAGATCTTCCAGCCATTGCGCTGTTATTTCGTCTCACATCAGTCTCTAATCAACTCGGGTTACTTCCCCTGTCCATATGAACTCTATTATAGGGAGATAACTTTTCTGTTGATCTACGTTACCTTATAATTACAGACGCTTCTTCCCTTCTCTCTCTCTCTCTCTCTCTCTCTCTCTCTCTCTCTCTCTCTCTCTCTCTCTCTCTCTAACTCTCTTACTTTTTACCTCCCTACCCTCTCGTGTAGACACGGACAGTCTAGACACGGACAGTCTAGACACACGGACAGTCTAGTCATACGGACAGTCTAGACACACGGACAGTCTAGACACACGGACAAACTAGACACACGGACAGTCTAGTCATACGGACAGTCTAGACACACGGACAGTCTAGTCATACGGACAGTCTAGACACACGGACAGTCTAGTCATACGGACAGTCTAGACACACGGACAGTCTAGACACACGGACAGTCTAGTCATACGGACAGTCTAGTCATACGGACAGTCTAGACACACGGACAGTCTAGACACACGGACAGTCTAGTCATACGGACAGTCTAGTCATACGGACAGTCTAGACACACGGACAGTCTAGACACACGGACAAACTAGACACACGGACAGTCTAGACACACGGACAGTCTAGACACACGGACAAACTAGACACACGGACAGTCTAGTCATATGGACAGTCTAGACACACGGACAGTCTAGACACACGGACAAACTAGACACACGGACAGTCTAGTCATACGGACAGTCTAGACACACGGACAGTCTAGACACACGGACAAACTAGACACACGGACAGTCTAGTCATACGGACAGTCTAGACACACGGACAGTCTAGACACACGGACAGTCTAGACAGACAGACAGTCTAGACACACGGACAGTCTAGTCACACGGACAGACGAGTCAAACGGACAATCTAGACACACGGACAGACTAGACACACGGACAGTCTAGACACCCGGACAATCTAGACACACGGACAGACTAGACAGACGGACAGTCTAGACACACGGACAGTCTAGACATACGGACAGTCTAAAATCTGAACATTTCTACGACTGATGAACTCAACCATTAGCATTGAGATTAAAAAAACCTGAACATTTCTACGACTGATGAACTCAACCATTAGCATTGAGATTAAAAAAACCTGAACATTTCTACGACTGATGAACTCAACCATTAGCATTGAGATTTAAAAAACCTGAACATTTCTAACCAATGGTTAGAGGGCCGAAAATGCCTTTTTTAGTTTCTTTCCTAAAGAGGGGCGGGGAGAGTGGGTGTCACATGGGAGCTAATAACACGTCACATCCGGTGCAGCATCACGTGACAGCTCTTGTTACACCGGATGAACTTTGTGGGCGGCGTCTGGCACATGACTGGCACACAGTCGAACTGGGGCCACATTCACAAGGGCCACATTCACAGGGGCCATCGACACTGGGGCCACATTTTGTGACCACAGTTAATAGGACGACGTCATGCCGACGTAGTTTGTCGTTGTGTACTGCAGCTATGGCAAAAATATTGATGACAAAAATATTAATGACAAAAATATTAATGACAAAAATATTAATTCCAAAAATATTAATGACAAAAATATTATGGACAAAAATATTAATGACAAAAATATTAATGCCAAAAATATTAATGACAAAAATATTATTGACAAAAATATTAATGATAAAACATTAATGCTAAAAATATTCATGACAAAAAATATTAATGATAAAAATATTAATGATAAAAATATTAATGATAAAAAAATTAATGACAAAAATATTAGTGCCAAAAATATTGATGACAAAAATATTAATCTCAAAAATATTCAAGACACTAATATTAATGTCAAAAATATTAAAGACAAAAATATAATTGATAAAATATTAATAACAAAAATATTAAAGTCCAAAATATGTATGACAAAAAAAATTAGTGACAAAATATTAGTGACAAATAACTAGTAACAAATTACTAGTTACAAAAATATTAATGACAAAATATCAATGACAAAATATTATTGACAAAATATTAATTACAAAAATGTGAAAAAATATTTATAACAAAATGACTAAACACTAATTACAAAATTATTAATAGAAAATAATTATGAGAGAAACTCGTACAAAATAATCAGCAGCAGTTAATTACTTGAAGCAGATTTTTGTCTTAGCGAAGAATTCACGCCGTCGATTATGTTAATTTATTCAAATTTTGTTTTTTTGGCCACCAAAGGTTATAAAAATAAAGATGGCGTCATAGCATCGGGTGCAACCGATAACAATCACATCGCTACACAACGATAACAATCACATCGCTACACAAGAATCTAAGATCATCACAACATTAAAATAAGGATACCCCCCGCCCCCGCCCGACCCCCCCCCCCCCCACCGCTATATAAACACAGCCCACGTGATGCTGGTCTGATGTTGAATTAAGGAGATTGTCTTCCGTCAAAAAATGAATTTGTGTTTTGATATATGTCACGTGACTTCAGCCTCGTTATCGATTCCGGCCTCCGCCATGTTGGGGTTAATCTCGCTGTTGGCGTGTGACTCGTCAGTGACGTCACTTCCGTGTCTGTCCCGGTTGGCCACTTCGTTGGCCACGAGAATGAGGCCAAGGAAACCAATGACGTGGAGCACAAGGGCAGCGTACAATGACGTCATCAGATTCTGTGTGAAGATAGAGGTGAAGAAGCTGGCGATGAGCCCTAAACCCTGGCAAACCCTGAACCCCGTCATGGCCGTGTCCTTCTCCTCACGGGCGTACCTCGTCACGATGGCTGCAACAGAGAGTCACGTTAGTGGGGGTCAGGTTAGTGGGGGTCATGTTAGTGGGGGTCACGTCAGTGGGGGTCACATCAGTGGGGGTCATGTTAGTGGGGGTCAGGTTAGTGGGGTCACATTAGTGGGGGTCATGTTAGTGGGGGTCACGTTAGTGGGGGTCAGGTTAGTGGGGGTCATGTTAGTGGGGGTCATGTTCGTGGGGTCACATTAGTGGGGGTCACGTCAGTGGGGGTCACGTTAGTGGGGGTCACCTTAGTGGGGTTCATGTTAGTGGGGGTTACGTCAGTGGGGGTCATGTTAGTGGGGGTCAGGTTAAAAGGGGTCACTTTAGTGGGGGTCACGTTAGTGGGGGTCTCGTCAGTGGGGAGTCATGTTAGTGGGGGTCAGGTTAGTGGGGGTCAGGTTAGTGGGGGTCAGGTTAGTTTGGGTCCGGTTAGTGGGGGTCACATCAGTGGGGGTCACGTTAGTGGGGGTCACGTTAGTGGGGGTCAGGTTAGTTTGGGTCCGGTTAGTGGGGGTCAGGTTAGTGGGGGTCAGGTTAGTGGGGGTCACGTTAGTCGGGGTCACTTAAGTGGGGTCACTTTCTAGGTATTAAAAAGGTAGTGTATTATTTTGGGAACAGGGCATTCCCCCCCCCCTGTCAATTACCCCCCGGATATTTCCCCCCCCCCCCCGACATTACCCCCCAGAGTAATTACCCCCCCTGTCAATTATCCCCCTGTCAATTACCCCCCGCCCAGTAGGACATTATCCCCCCCGGACAGGGTTAGAGTTAGGGCTAGGGTTAGGGTTAGGGCTAGGGTTAGGGTTAGGGTTAGGGTTAGGGTTAGGGTTAGGGTTAGGGTTAGGGTTAGGGTTAGGGTTAGGGTTAGGGTTAGGGTTAGGGTTAGGGTTAGGGCTAGGGTTAGGGTTAGAGCTAGGGTTAGGGTTAGAGCTAGGGTTAGGGTTAGAGCTAGGGTTAGGGTTAGAGCTAGTTTTAGGGTTAGGGTTGTGTCTAGCTTTGGTTTTGGTTTTGTGTGAAGTTTTAGGCTAAGGTGGAAGCTTAGGTTTTGGTCTTTTTCTTAAGGTTTGGATTAAAGTAGTATATAGGGATAAAATTCTAGTTAGAGTTAGGATTTTAACTTGAGAGTGGGGGGGGGGGGGGGTAATTCCCCGGGGGGGGGGGTAATTGACAGGGTGGTAATTGACAGGGGGGTAATTGCTCCGGGGGTAAATACGGTGGGAAATGTCCGGGGGGGGGGAAATATCCAGGGGGTAATATCCTGTAGCCATTATTTTAGATTTAAAGACAATAATTTATTTTCACTTCTTAGTGCATTATTACATAAACGCTTGTTAGTAATACATTTTTCTGCATTTGTTTTTTACATGCTTTTTAAAACTTGTTTCTTCTGTCTATGTGTCTGTCTATTTGTCTATTTGTCTGTCTATTTATCGTGCTTCATAATTGATCAAAACTGCTGATCGAAATTTCGATCTATTGGATACATACGCTTTTCTTTGTAGTTATTTAAAGAAAATCTTTTCTTTTATTTTTTTCTGTATACAAGCATGTTACTATAATGTTTTTAATGCTTTTTTAATCCAAAATTTTTAATGCAATACGGTAGCAGGACTAAAAACTGTAGCGCACCAAAGGAACTTCATGATGCGCGTATCAACTCTAACAATGTGGAGTGGAGCTTGTAATCTCGTTCTCTCTCACATCCAAGTCTCGTTGGCAGGGAGAGATCGAAGTTTTCTAACCAATAAATAAATAAATAAATGGGGTTTAATATATTATAAATTTAGGGCCAGGATCTAGAAAAATAAATTTTTAAGCATGCTACTACTCCGGCCCACGTCTATAATCTATTGCAGTAATTTTGTTAGGAAGGAATCAATTGTGATTAGTAGGGCAAGAAGACAAATTCATATCTTAATAAATAGTTGTCAATATAGCATGAAAATTGGATGAACTATTAGGACATGCTAGATCTTTAATTAGAATATCTTAGTGTTAGTTAGGAGCAAGCCAGTATAATGGAAATCTTCTTTAATTAGGTGTACGTAATGACATTTTCACAATTTTGCATGTTGTAGGTATTATTGTTTATTTACCACTTATTTATGTTTTAGATAATTTATATCATTGCCTGCAGTTTCTTTGATATGATTGATAGAGTTTTAGTTGATCTCGGTAAGTTTTTATTTAGAGTTTTTTTGGGGTAGGTTAGCACATAAATTCTTAATATGTCATTGTGCTCTGATAAAAATAGATTTTATTATTTTTACAAACCTAAATCCTAATCCTAACTCTAATCCTAATCCTAACTCTAATCCTAATCCTAACTTTAATCTTAATCCTAACTCTAATCCTGACTCTAATCCTAATCCTAACTCTAATCCTAATCCTAACTCTAATCTTAATCCTAACTCTAATCCTAATCCTAACTCTAATCCTAATCCTGACTCTAATCCTAATCCTAACTCTAATCCTAATCCTAACTCTAATCTTAATCCTAACTCTAATCCTAATCCTAACTCTAATCCTAATCCTAACTCTAATCCTAATCCTAACTCTAATCCTAATCCTAACTCTAATCCTAACCCGAAGCTTACACAAAACCTGAACCCGATACAATGCCCACACAAATCTTGTCCTCTCGTGTTATCTCGTGTTATCTCGTGTTATCTCGTGTTGTCTCGTGTTATCTCGCGTTATCTCGTGTTGTCTCGTGTTGTCTCGTGTTATCTCGTGTTGTCTCGTGTTATCTCATGTTGTCTCGTGTTATCTCGTGTTGTCTCGTGTTATCTCGTGTTGTCTCGTGTTATCTCGTGTTATCTCGCGTTATCTCGTGTTGTCTCGTGTTATCTCGCGTTATCTCGTGTTGTCTCGTGTTGTCTCGTGTTATCTCGTGTTGTCTCGTGTTGTCTCGTGTTGTCTCGTGTTATCTCGTGTTGTCTCGTGTTATCTCGTGTTGTCTCGTGTTATCTCGTGTTATCTCGCGTTATCTCGCACATCACAGCCAGTTGTTGTATCAGCCGCTCGAGCGATGAATTAATTAATTAATTAATTAATTAATTAACTGGACCGCTGCGCCTGTTGATGGTGTCATGTGACCAGCAGACCACGGCAGATCGACCAGCCGTGAAGCGCGCGGCTTTTAGAGTCTGATGTCAACAGCTTAGCAGACGGCCCTGATTGATCTTAAAAGCCCGAGAGAAAGGGTTGGGTGGGGGGGGGGACTCGGCCCGTGGGTGAGAATGTCAGCTAGCATGAATGTCAACTAGCCTAAATGTCAACTAGCCTAAATGTCAGCTAGCCTAAATGTCAGCTAGCCTAAATATCAGCTAGCATGAGTGTCACATAGCCTGAATGTCACCAAGCATGAATATCATCTAGCCTGAGTGTGAGCTAACCTGAATGTCACCTAGCATGAATGTCAGCTAGCATGAATGTCAACTAGCCTAAATGTCACCTAGCCTGAATGTCAGCAAGCCTGAATGTCACATAGCCTGAATGAGCCTGTAGCGTGCCATCTGCTACCCCCCCCCACCTACCCTGTGACTGAGCCTGTAGCGTGCCATCTGCTAGCCCCCCCCCCCCCACCTACCCTGTGACTGAGCCTGTAGCGTGCCATCTGCTAGCCCCCCCCCCCCCACCTACCCTGTGACTGAGCCTGTAGCGTGCCATCTGCTACCCCCCCCCCCCCACCTACCCTGTGACTGAGCCTGTAGCGTGCCATCTGCTAGCCCCCCCCCCCCCCACCTACCCTGTGACTGAGCCTGTAGCGTGCCATCTGCTAGCCCCCCCCCCCCCACCTACCCTGTGACTGAGCCTGTAGCGTGCCATCTGCTAGCCCCCCTCCCCCCACCTACCCTGTGACTGAGCCTGTAGCGTGCCATCTGCTACCCCCCCCCCCCCACCTACCCTGTGACTGAGCCTGTAGCGTGCCATCTGCTAGCCCCCCCCCCCCACCTACCCTGTGACTGAGCCTGTAGCGTGCCATCTGCTAGCCCCCCTCCCCCCACCTACCCTGTGACTGAGCCTGTAGCATGCCATCTGCTAGCCCCCCCCCACCTACCCTGTGACTGAGCCTGTAGCGTGCCATCTGCTAGCCCCCCCCCCCCCCACCTACCCTGTGACTGAGCCTGTAGCGTGCCGTCTGCTAGCCCCCCTCCCCCCACCTACCCTGTGACTGAGCCTGTAGCGTGCCATCTGCTAGCCCCCCCCCCCACCTACCCTGTGACTGAGCCTGTAGCGTGCCGTCTGCTAGCCCCCCTCCCCCCACCTACCCTGTGACTGAGCCTGTAGCGTGCCATCTGCTAGCCCCCCCCCCCCCCCCCCACCTACCCTGTGACTGAGCCTGTAGCGTGCCATCTGCTAGTCCCCAGAAGGCCGTGTACAGCAACAACTCCGATGACTCACTGCTCGTCGGTTTCCATAGCGACGTCAGGATGAGAACGCCGATGTTCATTAGAAAACCTGAGTTCAGACAACAATGTAGGTCAAGGTCGGGTACAGACAACATCGTAGTTCAAGGTCGGACACAGACAACATTGTATGTCAAGGACGGGCACAGATAACAATGTAGATCAATTTTTGATCAATTTTTAAAATTTTGGTTAGATTCTCTTGAACACGGAATATGTATCAAAGTTCAACAAACTCATGCCCTCAACTTGTCCTCATCATTATATTAATATGACATCAAAATAACATTATATTAACAAGACATCTACATTATATTAAAATGACATCAACATGACCATAAAGTGACTTCAGCGTTACGCCAACTTGACTTAAATATGACATTAATATGAAAACAAGATGATTAAAATGTGACATCAATGTTACAACTCTTTGCTTCAAACATGAAATGAATTAGTGTTTAGCGAAGGCCTTTTATCAATACACTAGACTACCCGTTATCTAGTTAGATAACTGTGGGTTTCGGGGGGTCATCCATAAATGACATCACGTCTGCCAGCACTTTTCATCCCAAAATAACCAGACCCCACATTCAAAAAGACGTTTTTTATATTTTAAAAACTCTACTAAACTCTACTTCACCTGCCCAGTGCCCCGCCAAGTCTCAGACATGTTTGTATTTAAAAAAAAAAAAACGATTCCGGCCAAGCAAGGCTCTGACCACACTATCCCTTCATATGCTGAGTACATAGAAACAGGTGAACTCTACTTCACCTGCCCTATGCCTCCCGAGGTCCTGATAGTCAACCTTATCATTCACATGTAGGCCTTAAGAAAAAATAATTGAAAACATTGTTGTAAAAAGTAAAATAAATCTTTTACTATTACTAAACTCATTGTTCTAAACTTTTATAATTAATGTTGTTAATCTACCAATGAATATATTAATAAATTAATTAACGGCTTTAAATTAGTTTGTAATTAACAGCGTGTTTAAAAAAGAACAATATTTACCACTAAAAATCCTATTTTACAGCTCTACACATAATGCTGATTTTCCCCAATAACAAATAAAAAAATTAAAAAACTTTTTTTCTTTTTTCTACTATATTCTATTCTATTTTAAAAAGTTTAAGTTATTAAAAATGGATTTAAAATCTTTGTCTATACTCCGAGTTGCCATGCCACGTAGTGTTATATAAGAATATTCGAGAAAGTTTAGGGGATATCACTCCCGGTTTATTTATTTAACTTTCTTTTTTAGAATTTAACTTTTTTTGGGTGCCTTTTTTATAATATAACTTTTTTGGTGGCTTTGTTATAATTTAACTATCTTTTGGTGGCTTTGTTATAATTTAACTATCTTTTGGTGGCTTTGTTATAATTTAACTTTCTTTTGGTGGCTTTGTTATAATTTAACTTTCTTTTGGTGGCTTTTTTTCCTATAAAAACTGAGAAGTTTCATGCTGAGGCTTTTTCCCGGCTCACTCCCCTCCCCCCACACACACATTCACAAATAGACGCCGTCATCACCCCCCCCCCCTACCACACACACACATACACACACATTCACCCCCTCCACACATACAAAAACAATGTCCACAAAAAACACTCCCACACACATTTTCCCCTTCACACACACAACACTTCGCACACCCTCTGTATCCACACAATCCACCCCATCATGCGATCCTCCCTTCCCCCACCTCTCCACATACAAACAATCCTCCATTCAACCCCTCCCACACCCTCTCCACATACAAATTATCCTCCATTCAACCCCTCCCACACCTCTCCACATACAAACAATCCTCCATTCAACCCCTCCCCCACACCTCTCCACATACAAACAATCCTCCATTCAACCCCTCCCACACCTCTCCACATACAAACAATCCTCCATTCAACCCTTCCCCCACCCTCTCCACATACAAACAATCCTCCATTCAACCCCTCCCCCACCCTCTCCACATACAAACAATCCTCCATTCAACCCTTCCCCCACCCTCTCCTCATACAAACAATCCTCCATTCAACCCCTCCCCCACCCTCTCCACATACAAACAATCCTCCATTCAACGCCTCCCCCACCCTCTCCACATACAAACAATCCTCCATTCAACCCCTCCCCCACCCTCTCCACATACAAACAATCCTCCATTCAACGCCTCCCCCACCCTCTCCACATACAAACAATCCTCCATTCAACCCCTCCCCCACCCTCTCCACATACAAACAATCCTCCATTCAACCCCTCCCTCACCCTCTCCACATACAAACAATCCTCCATTCAACCCCTCCCCCACCCTCTCCACATACAAACAATCCTCCATTCAACCCCTCCCCCACCCTCTCCACATACAAACAATCCTCCATTCAACCCCTCCCCCACCCTCTCCACATACAAACAATCCTCCATTCAACCCCTCCCCCACCCCCTCCACATACAAACAATCCTCCATTCAACCCCTCCCCCACCCTCTCCACATACAAACAATCCTCCATTCAACCCCTCCCTCACCCTCTCCACATACAAACAATCCTCCATTCAACCCCTCCCCCACCCTCTCCACATACAAACAATCCTCCATTCAACCCCTCCCCCACCCTCTCCACATACAAACAATCCTCCATTCAACCCCCCCCCCCACACCTCTCCACATACAAACAATCCTCCATTCAACCCCTCCCCCACCCTCTCCACATACAAACAATCCTCCATTCAACCCCTCCCCCACCCTCTCCACATACAAACAATCCTCCATTCAACCCCTCCCCCACCCTCTCCACATACAAACAATCCTCCATTCAACCCCTCCCCCACCCCCTCCACATACAAACAATCCTCCATTCAACCCCTTTCACACCTCTCCACATACAAACAATCCTCCATTCAACCCCTCCCCCACCCTCTCCACATACAAACAATCCTCCATTCAACCCCTCCCCCACCCCCTCCACATACAAACAATCCTCCATTCAACCCCTCTCACATCTCTCCACATACAAACAATCCTCCATTCAACCCCTCCCCCACCCTCTCCACATACAAACAATCCTCCATTCAACCCCTCCCCCACCCATCTCACCACCGCCCTTTTATCTTTATAAATTAATACGAGCTACTGTGATGCTGCTAATGTCCAAAGTGATCCACACAGTTCACTTTTTTCATTACAGTTACCTTACTTGAGCCCTTGGTAAATTAAAAAAATCGATTGTAAGCCACCCTAATCCTCCCTCGCGTCGCCTCAACTTTCTTCAGACGTAAATCAATTTTTGCCTCAACTTTCTTCAGACGTAAATCAATTTTTGCCTCAACTTTCTTCAGACGTAAATTAATTTTTGCCTCAACGTTCTTCAGACGTAAATCAATTTTTGCCTCAACTTTCTTCATCAATTTTTGCCTCAACTTTCTTCAGACGTAAATCAATTTTTGCCTCAACTTTCTTCATCAATTTTTGCCTCAACTTTCTTCAGACGTAAATCAATTTTTGCCTCAACTTTCTTCAGACGTAAATCAATCTTTGCCTCAACTTTCTTCAGACGTAAATTAATTTTTGCCTCAACGTTCTTCAGACGTAAATCAATTTTTGCCTCAACTTTCTTCATCAATTTTTGCCTCAACTTTCTTCAGACGTAAATCAATTTTAGCCTCAACTTTCTCCATCAATTTTTGCCTCAACTTTCTTCAGACGTAAATCAATTTTTGCCTCAACTTTCTTCAGACGTAAATCAATTTTCGCCTCAACTTTCTTCAGACGTAAATCAATCTTTGCCTCAACGTTCTTCAGACGTAAATCAATCTTTGCCTCAACTTTCTTCAGACGTAAATCAATCTTTGCCTCAACTTTCTTCAGACGTAAATTAATTTTTGCCTCAACGTTCTTCAGACGTAAATCAATTTTTGCCTCAACTTTCTTCATCAATTTTTGCTTCAACGTTCTTCAGACGTAAATCAATTTTAGCCTCAACTTTCTCCATCAATTTTTGCCTCAACTTTTTTCAGACGTAAATCAATTTTTGCCTCAACTTTCTTCAGCCGTAAATCAAGTTCTCGTGTCTTAGGTCTCAGGTTTTAGGTCTCGTGTCTTAGGTTTCATGTCGTAGGTCTGATGTCTTAGGTCTTAAATCTCATGTCTTAGGTCTCAAATCTCATGGCCTAGGTCTTATGTCTTAGGTCTCACGTGTTAAGTCTCATGTCTTTCATACTTTATAGTGTTTACCCCCTCCCCCACCTCGGAGAAAAATGTCTGAAAGAAACCCTGGTCACCTGGTCCCGTGGTACCACGTCACGTGATCAGCGTCACGTGGTACCACGTGACACGTTCCATCAGCCCGTAAACGGATGTCCGGGTTTAGGCTTTAGTCCAACCAATTTCTCAGAGCCGGTTCACAAAGTGCTCCATCATGGCTCCACCTTCTCTATCCCAGCATCCATCTCCCCTCCCCGGGGGTGCGGGGTATCTGACGCCAGCTCCAACATCCATCTAACCTCCCCGGGGGGTGGGGTGGCGCTGTCGTCCCTCGCGAAAAGACTTGGATTGATGTTTTGACTCGTGTGCGTAATTTCTCGCTAACCAAATGCAGGCGTTCAAAAACTGTTCGTTTGAAAAACAAAAAAAAGCCGGAATAAACCGGTTTATTTATTGAATCATCGCTCGCGTTTTTACAGGCGCTCGAGCAACATCCCACCTTAATTTATTCCAACAAAATATTGCATTCGATTTATCTAGTTGTAGGCTGATGTCTGTCTGATGTCTGTCTGATGTCTGCCCACTGGTGTAGGCTGATGTCTGTCTGATGTCTGCCCACTGGTGTAGGCTGATGTCTGCCCACTGGTATATTCTGATGTCTGCCTAATGTCTGCCCACTGGTGTAGGCTGATCTCTGTCCACTGGTGTAGGCTGATGTCTGCCCACTGGTGTAGGCTGATGTCTGTCCGATGTCTGCCCACTGGTGTATGCTGATGTCTGCCCACTCTCCATACGTGTCTGCCATTTTACCTAGTCACGTGACTTTCCATGGGAAAGGTGTTTACATCAACGGTCATCCACCAACATCTTAACATCCAGCTCTAAACACACCATCAGTCATCATCCAACCACGTCAGTAAACGTGATTGTGAGACCACGAGACAGTGAGACCACGTGATTGCGAGACCACGAGACAGTGAGACCACGAGACAGTGAGACCACGAGACAGTGAGACCACGAGACAGTGAGACCACGAGACAGTGAGACCACTTGACAATGAGACAGTGAGACAGTGAGACCACGTGACAATGAGCCCACGAGAGAGTGAGACCACGAGACAGTGAGACCACGAGACAGTGAGACCACGAGACAGTGAGACCACGAGACAGTGAGACCACGAGACAGTGAGACCACGATATAGTGAGACCACGATACAGTGAGACAGTGAGACCACGAGACAGTGAGATCACGAGACAGAGAGACAGTGAGACCACGTGACATTAGGCCACGTGACAATGAGACCACGAGACAGTGATACCACGAAACAGTGAGACCACGATACAGTGAGACCACGATACAGTGAGACAATGGGACAGTGAGACCACGATACAGTGAGACCACGAGACAGTGAGACCACGAGACAGTGATACCACGATACAGTGAGACCACGAAACAGTGAGACCACGATACAGTGAGACAATGGGACAGTGAGACCACGATACAGTGAGACCACGAGACAGTGAGACCACGAGACAGTGATACCACGATACAGTGAGACCACGAAACAGTGAGACCACGATACAGTGAGACAATGGGACAGTGAGACCACGATACAGTGAGATCACAAGACAGTGAGACCACGAGAAAATGAGACCACGTGACAGTGAGACCACGAGACAGTGAGACAGTGAGACCACGATACAGTGAGACCACGAGACAGTGAGACCACGAGACAGTGAGACCACGAGACAATGAGACCACGTGACAATGAGACAATGAGACAGTGAGACCACGAGACAGTGAGACCACGAGACAGTGAGACCACGAGACAGTGAGACCACGAGACAGTGAGACCACGAGACAGTGAGACCACGAGACAGTGAGACCACGAGACAGTGAGACCACGATACAGTGAGACCACGAAACAGTGAGACCACGATACAGTGAGACCACGAGACATTAGGCCACGTGACAATGAGACCACGAGACAGTGAGACCACGAGACAGTGAGACCACGAGACAGTGAGACAATGGGACAGTGAGACCACGATACAGTGAGACCACGAGACAGTGATACCACGATACAGTGAGACCACGAAACAGTGAGACCACGATACAGTGAGACAATGGGACAGTGAGACCACGATACAGTGAGACCACGAGACAGTGAGACCACGAGACAGTGATACCACGATACAGTGAGACCACGAAACAGTGAGACCACGATACAGTGAGACAATGGGACAGTGAGACCACGATACAGTGAGACCACGAGACAGTGAGACCACGAGACAGTGATACCACGATACAGTGAGACCACGAAACAGTGAGACCACGATACAGTGAGACAATGGGACAGTGAGACCACGATACAGTGAGATCACAAGACAGTGAGACCACGAGAAAATGAGACCACGTGACAGTGAGACCACGTGACAATGAGCCCACGAGACAGTGAGACCACGAGACAGTGAGACCACGAGACAGTGAGACCACGAGACAGTGAGACCACGAGACATTGAGACCACGAGACAGTGAGACCACGAGACAATGAGACCACGTGACAATGAGACAATGAGACAGTGAGACCACGAGACAGTGAGACCACGAGACAGTGAGACCACGAGACAGTGAGACCACGAGACAGTGAGACCACGAGACAATGAGACCACGAGACAGTGAGACCACGATACAGTGAGACCACGAAACAGTGAGACCACGATACAGTGAGACCACGAGACATTAGGCCACGTGACAATGAGACCACGAGACAGTGAGACCACGAGACAATGAGACCACGAGACAGTGAGACAATGGGACAGTGAGACCACGATACAGTGAGACCACGAGACAGTGATACCACGATACAGTGAGACCACGAAACAGTGAGACCACGATACAGTGAGACAATGGGACAGTGAGACCACGATACAGTGAGACCACGAGACAGTGAGACCACGAGACAGTGATACCACGATACAGTGAGACCACGAAACAGTGAGACCACGATACAGTGAGACAATGGGACAGTGAGACCACGATACAGTGAGATCACAAGACAGTGAGACCACGAGAAAATGAGACCACGTGACAGTGAGACCACGTGACAATGAGCCCACGAGACAGTGAGACCACGAGACAGTGAGACCACGAGACAGTGAGACCACGAGACATTGAGACCACGAGACAGTGAGACCACGAGACAGTGAGACAGTGAGACCACGAGACAATGAGACCACGTGACAATGAGACAATGAGACAGTGAGACCACGAGACAGTGAGACCACGAGACAGTGAGACCACGAGACAGTGAGACCACGAGACAGTGAGACCACGAGACAGTGAGACCACGAGACAGTGAGACCACGAGACAGTGAGACCACGAGACAGTGAGACCACGAGACAGTGAGACCACGAGACAGTGAGACCACGAGACAGTGAGACCACGAGACAGTGAGACCACGAGACAGTGAGACCACGAGACAATGAGACCACGAGACAGTGAGACCACGATACAGTGAGACCACGAAACAGTAAGACCACGATACAGTGAGACCACGAGACATTAGGCCACGTGACAATGAGACCACGAGACAGTGAGACCACGAGACAATGAGACCACGAGACAGTGAGACAATGGGACAGTGAGACCACGATACAGTGAGACCACGAGACAGTGATACCACGATACAGTGAGACCACGAGACAGTGAGACCACGATACAGTGAGACCACGAAACAGTGAGACCACGATACAGTGAGACCACGAGACATTAGGCCACGTGACAATGAGACCACGAGACAGTGAGACCACGAGACAATGAGACCACGAGACAGTGAGACAATGGGACAGTGAGACCACGATACAGTGAGACCACGAGACAGTGATACCACGATACAGTGAGACCACGAAACAGTGAGACCACGATACAGTGAGACAATGGGACAGTGAGACCACGATACAGTGAGACCACGAGACAGTGAGACCACGAGACAGTGATACCACGATACAGTGAGACCACGAAACAGTGAGACCACGATACAGTGAGACAATGGGACAGTGAGACCACGATACAGTGAGATCACAAGACAGTGAGACAGTGAGACCACGAGACATTGAGACCACGAGACAGTGAGACCACGAGACAGTGAGACCACGAGACAGTGAGACCACGAGACAGTGAGACCACGATACAGTGAGACCACGAAACAGTGAGACAGTGAGACCACGAGACATTGAGACCACGAGACAATGAGACCACGTGACAATGAGACAATGAGACAGTGAGACCACGTGACAATGAGACAATGAGACAGTGAGACCACGATACAGTGAGACCACGAGACAGTGAGACCACGAGACAGTGAGACCACGAGACAGTGAGACCACGAGACAGTGAGACCACGAGACAGTGAGACCACGATACAGTGAGACCACGAGACAGTGAGACAGTGAGACCACGAGACATTGAGACCACGAGACATTGAGACCACGAGACATTGAGACCACGAGACAGTGAGACCACGAGACAGAGAGACCACGAGACAGTGAGACAACGAGACAGTGAGACAACGAGACAGTGAGACCACGAGACAGTGACACCACGAGACAGTGAGACCACGAGACAGTGAGACCACGAGACAGTGAGACAGGGACACCACGTGATCACTTACCTAGAGACAAGAAAAGCGGATGTGACGAGCAGGGCTTGAGTTTGTCCATGGCCAAGATGGCGACCAAGTTTCCGGTACCAAACGACACCATCATGTATCCCACGATAAAACAGCCAAGTGTGTCGGTGCCATACAGCTGGGAATAGCAGGAGAAGTAGAGTTAGTCGCGAGGGTTAGCGGCCAGATTAGGGTTAGTGGTAGGTCATGACATGAAGCAACTAGTCCTAACGTTGGAGTAGAGCCCGGGGTGGGGGATGATGGGGGGGAAAGCGGAAATGAGAGAAAGGAAAGAGCGAGGGATTATCAGGGATTAGGTGTCCGCCATTAAAGCCGGCTCCCGTCTTTAGATGGCGCTTTCTAATTATTTTATCTTAGAGCCATCACAAGACATGGCCCTCGGCACTGTCTCGGTTCTGGCACCACTCTGCTGCTGATCGATGCTCGCTGCCCGCCTTAAGTAGACTTGTACAGGCTATTAGCTGGCTCTCATAGAGTCAATCAATGCTTTGTAAACGTATGTTTTATATATATATATATATATATATATATATATATATATATATATATATATATATATATACAAGTCACTGAATGAACCACGTAACAAGAAAATAACGAATGAAGCACTAGCGCCAGTCATTGAGAAAAAACACGGGGGTAAACTAAACATTGTTTGTATCCTAATTTGTCTTGCAACCAAGTGAGACTGTGTGCTGGGCTGGGTAATTGAAAATTCCGCAAAAGATGTGATTGAGTTGTTCAGAGCTTTGTATAAATGTTGTCGTCTGTACTACGTCTGTCGTCTGGCCTACGTCTGTCGTATGTCGTCTGTCAAGCTGTAAAGGTCTGATCTTTAACTTCACGTCTCACTAAAAATAAAACGGCATCGCGAAGAAAATTTGGTATCGATTTCATACTGTCACGGCGGCAAGTAGCAGAAATGAGGAGTCGATTATGACAACTGAGGAGTCGATTATAACAACTGATCTTTTCGAGTACAGAACGATAGTTAGAGACTGTGACGGTCCAATTTATCAACAACCTGGGGTGGGGAACTCAGAAATTATGTTGGGGGGGGGGTGGACGCTACATTGATACCTTACTAAAAATAAATATCACTTTAAATGATAGATTACAAACTTGGAAAATTCACATCGTGAAATGTTAATTTGACAATCGGCAGGATATAACAGTACCGTGTTCCAAAAGTAAGGTTTATAAAAAAAAAAAAAAATATATATATATATATATATATATATATATATATATATATATATATATATATATATATATATATATATATATATATATCCCCACATGTAGGGCTATATTTTAGGTATAGATATAAACTTTTCTTCTCATTCCTACATAAGCATATATATATATATATATATATATATATATATATATATATATATATATATATATATATATATATATATATATATTATATATAATATATATATATATATATATATATATATATATATATATATATATATATATATATATATATATATATATATATATATATATATATATATATATATATATATATATATATATTACAACTAAACGAGTCGAGATTGAATTAAAACTCAAATTTTTACATCATGAAAATTTAATTCTATTTGTCTTCTCGGGGGATTCAAAGCCATTTGGAAATGTTGGAACGGAATGAAAGGATGGCATTAATTTGTAAACATTTGACGTGACGGCCGACAGACGGCCGACAGACGGCAGACAGACGGCAGACAGACGGCAGCTTCAATGTTTGATGGAGTTCGTCTTGTTGTTTGTTGTGTGTGCTTGTTTTCATGTGTATGTGTGTATGTATCATCTAGCATGTGTATGTGTATGTGTATGTGTAATCTAGCACGTGTATGTGCTCACCACTCAGTAATTAATCAGCTCGTCATTGTTGGCCGCATGCCATGACGTCACTACAACAACTAGACGACACCGGGGGTATCCATGGCAACGAGCAATACAAGATGTCTGACTTAGCACATTAACCTCTCCCATTTAGGGCTCGACATGTTCTGGTGGCCAAAACTCGGCAAGACACCGACATTAAAACCACATCAGACACAATTTTAATTTTAATTATCTATTACTGTCACCATCTAAATGTGACACCATCTATTTGTGACACCATCTGATTGTGACACCATCTAAATGTGACACCATCTAAATGTGACACCATCTGATTGTGACACCATCTAAATGTGACACCATCTAAATGTGACACCATCTAAATGTGACACCATCTAAATGTGACACCATCTAAATGTGACACCATCTAAATGTGACACCATCTAAATGTGACACCATCTAAATGTGACACCATCTAAATGTGACACCATCTAAATGTGACACCATCTAAATGTGACACCATCTAAATGTGACACCATCTAAATGTGACACCATCTAAATGTGACACCATCTGATTGTGACACCATCTAAATGTGACACCATCTAAATGTGACACCATCTAAATGTGACACCATCTGCTCTAAAATAAAGTTGTGATGCGTCTGCTGTGCTGACCCCCCACATCATCTCTCCCAGTAATTCAATCAAAATTGTGCGAGAGAAGAATCAAGATTCGGCCTCATCTCGTCCCCTCAAACTTCGCTGCCGGTCTGCCGGTCTGCCGGTCTCAGCTTTTCTAGACTTCCGATTTAACCGGTTCTAGAACGGAAAGAGTAATTGATTATTTCCATAACGGAACCTAAGCTGTATTTTGATTGGTTGCCGGACTTAGAGGATAAACATTTTGTAAACACGCCTTGATCCACGTTTGGGCTTTAGTAGTGGGCCTTAAAGTGGGCCTTAAAGTGGGCCTTAAAGTGGGCCTCAGGGGTGGGCCTTAAAGTGGGCCTTAAAGTGGGCCTTAAAGTGGGCCTTAAAGTGGGCCTTAAAGTGGGCCTTAAAGTGGGCCTCAGGGGTGGGCCTTAAAGTGGGCCTTAAAGTGGGCCTTAAAGTGGGCCTTAAAGTGGGCCTTAAAGTGGGCCTTAAAGTGGGCCTCAGGGGTGGGCCTTAAAGTGGGCCTTAAAGTGGGCCTTAAAGTGGGCCTCAGGGGTGGGCCTTAAAGTGGGCCTTAAAGTGGGCCTTAGGGGTGGGCCTTAAAGTGGGCCTTAGAGTGGGCCTTAAAGTGGGCCTTAAAGTGGGCCTTAAAGTGGGCCTTAAAGTGGGCCTCGGGGTGGGCCTTAAAGTGGGCCTCAGGGGTGGGCCTTAAAGTGGGCCTTAAAGTGGGCCTTAAAGTGGGCCTCAGGGGTGGGCCTTAAAGTGGGCCTTAAAGTGGGCCTTAAAGTGGGCCTTAAAGTGGGCCTTAAAGTGGGCCTCGGGGTGGGCCTTAAAGTGGGCCTTAAAGTGGGCCTTAAAGTGGGCCTTAAAGTGGGCCTCAGGGGTGGGCCTTAAAGTGGGCCTTAAAGTGGGCCTTAAAGTGGGCCTCAGGGGTGGGCCTTAAAGTGGGCCTTAAAGTGGGCCTTAAAGTGGGCCTTAAAGTGGGCCTCAGGGGTGGGCCTTAAAGTGGGCCTTAAAGTGGGCCTTAAAGTGGGCCTTAAAGTGGGCCTTAAAGTGGGCCTTAAAGTGGGCCTTAAAGTGGGCCTTAAAGTGGGCCTTAAAGTGGGCCTTAAAGTGGGCCTTAAAGTCGGCCTTAAAATGGGCCTTAAAGTGGGCCTCAGAGGTGAGCCTTAAAGTGGGCCTCAGGGGTGGGCCTTAAAGTGGGCCTTAAAGTGGGCCTTAAAGTGGGCCTCAGGGGTGGGTTTTAAAGTGGGCCTTAAAGTGGGCCTTAAAGTGGACCTTAAAGTGGGCCTTAAAGTGGGCCTTAAAGTGGGCCTCGGGGTGGGCCTTAAAGTGGGCCTTAAAATGGGCCTTAAAGTGGGCCTTAAAGTGGGCCTTAAAATGGGCCTTAAAGTGGGCCTTAAAGTGGGCCTCAGGGGTGGGCCTTAAAGTGGGCCTCGGGGTGGGCCTTAAAGTGGGCCTTAAAGTGGGCCTTAAAGTGGGCCTTAAAGTGGGCCTTAAAGTGGGCCTCGGGGTGGGCCTTAAAGTGGGCCTTAAAGTGGGCCTTAAAGTGGGCCTTAAAGTGGGCCTTAAAGTGGGCCTTAAAGTGGGACTTAAAGTGGGCCTCAGGGGTGGGCCTTAAAGTGGGCCTTAAAGTGGGCCTTAAAGTGGGCCTTAAAATGGGCCTTAAAGTGGGCCTTAAAGTGGGCCTTAAAGTGGGCCTTAAAGTGGGCCTTAAAGTGGGCCTTAAAGTGGGCCTTAAAGTGGGCCTTAAAGTGGCCTTAAAGTGGGCCTTAAAGTGGGCCTTAAAGTGGGCCTCGGGGTGGGCCTTAAAGTGGGCCTTAAAGTGGGCCTTAAAGTGGGCCTTAAAGTGGGTTTTTCCTCGTCATCTGCAGCTAAAAGTTCTGACAGCCATTAACTGCATTATCTGTTTTCTACTGACGCCACCTGTTTGCTACTGACGCCATCTGTTTTCTACTGACGCCATCTGTTTTCCCCTCTGTTTTCTACTGACGCCATCTGTTTTCCCCTCTGTTTTCTACTGACGCCATCTGTTTTCTACTGACGCCATCTGTTTTCTACCGACGCCATCTGTTTTCCCCTCTGTTTTCAAATGACGCCATCTGTTTTCTCTTGACGCCATCTGTTTTCTACTGACGCCATCTGTTTTCTCTTGACGCCATCTGATTTCTACTGACGCCATCTGTTTTCTACTGACGCCATCTGTTTTCTACTGACGCCATCTGTTTTCCCCTCTGTTTTCTACTGACGCCATCTGTTTTCTCTTGACGCCATCTGATTTCTACTGACGCCATCTGTTTTCTACTGACGCCATCTTTTCTCTATTGACGCCATCTGTTTTCTATTCATCTAAGATTTCCTTTCAATTTAAAACTTGCCTTTGATTAAATATGATTTTTTTGTGTAGATCGGCCTTTCTTGCGAGGGTTTTGTCCACGGCCTTTTGTTTCCATTCTTTTAACCGGCAGAGAAAATGGAGGATTAGGAGGATTAGCACTAAGCAATGCGAATCTTTAAGTTTTTTAAATCTTAAATTCAACTTTTTTTTCACAGAAAAATTTCTGATAGCAAGTGACAAAATATAAATTAGACATATAGACACATATA